GTGAGAATATTTTTTTGTGGTTTTCTTTGGAAAAATTTCCTGTTGAAAAATGCGTATCATACGCATTTCTGCATTATAATCAATCATATCCAGGCGTAACTTGAGTTACGCCTGGATAAATACCTAGCTGTAACTAGAGGGCGTTTTGAAACGCCTATAAGGTATGCATTAACTCAAATCCCGAGTAGGCGTAACATAGAGAGGTTTGAAATGCGTAGCATTTTTGGCTAGAAATGCGTATAAAACGCATTTTGAAATGCCCAAATTATTTGCAGGGATACCATACTGTTTGCCTGCTGCTCGCCTGCATCATTGACAATAAGTACTGTATACATTTTTACTTTGAAACTTTTCCTTAGATTACCAAATAAATCCTTTCAAAAATAGAGCAGTGTACTGTGGACTTTCATTGCTTTTGGTTTAAACATCAAATGCATGTTTTGAACAAATTTTCATGGAACATAATGCACAGGAAAACTTTACAACAAAATCCATGAATGTCATAAACAGGCATTGGGAAAACTGATCCGCATTTTCTAAAATAGCCTTGCCTAAATAATGTACTGTATTGCCACCTGGTTTATTCCTCTGCTCCCAGCAGTCCCTCTCAATGCAGAGAACAGCATTATGGGATCTAAATGAAATTTTATCAATTCTTGTAGGTTAATGACGCATTGTCAGCCAATATAGTTGCGAAGTGTTGAATAATGAACAAATTCATTATTAATGAAATGTGTTGGGTGCTGCGAAATTTATAACAGGTGATGTTTCTAATTTTAAATTTTCAGTATTTCCATTACTTTGGCACCAAAATTTGCTAATCAACATTTTCCATGGTGTAATTTCACTATACTGTAATTACAAATACTGTAATACACTTGGAAGAATGCGCCAGTGTATAGGGGAACACTTGAATTAAATTACAGGATTCACACCTATTTTAGTGACAAGTGGAATATGTTTTGGTAATACTGTGCTGTAAATTGATTTCATTCATAGATAAAACTAAAAATCTCATTTTTTGCAGCATACAACTGTCTGTTTAATATTGAGGACGATGGGTATAGTCATCTACAGAGAGAGTATAGTACTGTGTTCTGAATGCTCCTAGTTACACAAAATGGACGAAGCTTGCATGCCTTGGCTGTAACAACTACAGTACTGTACAAGTATTTTTCAAACTATTCAAAAATTAGGCTGAAAACTAGTACTGTCTGCAAATGCGCACTATGTTTGTTATAATAAGTGAACAATAACACTCACATTATTTTATGAGTTCCGTATTACTTCCATGCAGCACAGTATGTAAGCATTGATGAACATGTGGACTCTCTCTAAAACAATCCTGTCTACAAAAAATGTATTGGCATACACTTTTTTTTTTGGTCCCAGCAGAGTTTCCCAAATCATATTGATAAAGTACTCTGTCTACAACAATCCACCAATCTTACTCACTCTCTCTACAATGGTTTTTTTCCTTGGGTGAAAGCAAAAGCTGCAGATTCTTGTAGAAAATTTCTGCTTTTGATTGCCAAAGAAGCCAATTTGGTGGTCAGAAAAGGCAGATTTTAGTGAGCAAAAACGTATTATTTTGGTTGAGGTCGAAGAGAGGTTATGCAGTTTTTTTTAATGAAAATAGGAATCCCCTCATTTCTCTGATATTTCAGGGCCATTGTCAATTCCTGGCCAACTTTATTCAGGGCTTTCTTTCTGCTCAGCTCTTCAATTGGGTTCTCAGTAAATTTTAGCTGCCTGCTTGATGTAAGCTGTTTTATTGCCTGAGGCTCGTGGAAGACTGGTTGAAATGGGCATTCCTCTGCAGTTCTTTCAAGGTTGTATGCTTCATGCGTTCATTAACCTGATTCCCATTTAAAGTTTGTGTTTGGATTCTGTTATAATGTTAGTGTTGCTGGGGATTCATAATATTTTGTGGGAAGCATTCTTGAATTTTGAAGCAATTGTAATTTTGTCTTTCAATTAAGCAACAGCAGTTTCAAACCGGTATCCTTCATTTTCAAATGATTAGTCATGGTACTCATGAGTCTCATGCACAAGGTCTGAAAGTGACATTGCTTGATGAAAATGTTTTCAATGTTATTTGAAAAAGAAGTGCTGAAAAAATTGGGTCTTTAGAAAAATGAGCATCAAAAATGTATTTTTCAATGAAAACTTTCATCCTGTAGCTGCTGTTCATGATCAAACGAAAGGAAGTTGAAATTTTCTGAAATTTCAGTCAACACTTAATTTTCCAAAAAGATGGACAAAAATTTAAGATGCAAACTTAATTTTGAATTTGAGCCAAAGATATCTGTACAGGAAAGGTTCTGATTATTTCAGCTTTAAATGTCTGTAAGGTTATGCTGTTTTTCTCTCTAAATGGCAGTTTGATCATGGGTAAACTATTTTTAATGTTTAGCATGTCTATTTTGCTTTTAATTTTACCTTTGATGAAGTTTTGACGTAATATTTTCCGCTTGTTGCGCATAATAATATTTATGTTAATCAATTAGATTTCTCAAATTGTCTGTAACATTTCATATTTTTTGAGAACCTCTTGAAGTCTAGATCTATCTAGGTCTGTTCTGAACTGTTACAAATTTTGTATTGCCTGAATAGCAGTTTTCTGTAATGCTTTGCATTCTGTATTAATTTTCAAATGATGGATTTCTTGCTACCTTTGTCAAGTCGGCTCCCTGTTGCAATTTTCTGCATTTATTGTACGGTATCCTTGAGTATATTTTGTGCAGCATATCTAATGCAGTATTTTGCATATGAAATATTAAATTCTAGGCTGGGAATGATCTTCAGACACTTATTTGAAGGAACAAGCATTTTTGAATGCAGCATAGGCATCAAAATATTTTTTTAACTCTAAGCATGATCAATGATCAATGTTCCTATATGAGGCGTTGTCAAAAACAACATTCTCTTTCATGGGATTATTTTCTGGTCCCCAGCAAATAGTTGTTGATTGGAGTCCACCTGTATTTTTTTTCCATGCAGCATTTTTTTCTGCTGATGAGGCACATCAAGTTCTCCTTTTTGAATAATTACTTTTCGGGATGAGATTTACCCAGCCATCAGCCCATGGTGCTTCGGAATGAATAAGCAAGTCAGACAGGGCGGCATAGCAGGAATGCTGCTGGGGTGATGGTGGTGGTGGTGGAGATGAGAAGCCTATAGCACCCAGCCGGGAAGTTCCATCCATCCGCCCGCGCATTCCTGCGATAAGGCTTGAGAAGCAAGGAGTAGGAGAGAGTGCATCAGCAGAGAGCGTGGATCGAAAGACGCGCAGCGCGGGACCCTCGTTTCCTTCACACTCGTCTTGGCTGCTGGCCGATCTCCATCCCTGGCCGGGCGTAGTCAGTGCGAAGTGCGTGCTGTGGAATGAACTGCAATTGCCTGTGTTATTCATGTCGTGAAAAGAGTTTCTGATGCCCAGCAGGTCATTGGACATTCATGTACAGTAGTGCGCATCAACTGCCTCATTGTTGATTTAGGTCCGGAACTCCTCGCGATTCGTCCATTGTGAACGGTGCTGCGTGTCACACACATCGTCCTCTGTACAGTACTTGTAACGGATGGTCTGACATTAAGCAGTGGATGATCTTGCCCTAAGCTAAATTCGCGAATCATCTTCAATTTGGCATGTATTAGCTAGCATGCAGCCGAGGTACGTGCTGCTCTCTTCACACTGCAGCTAGTATCATTGAAAGGCAACCCGCCATTCAGTTTTTGCAATACGTCGAAGTAGTCTGATAAAGTGCGGATTTTAATGATTTTTTGCTGATCATGGTTGACTCATCTCGGGTAAGACGTAAATAAGTTAGATGTAGATTATTATGTCACCTGTTGGAGGGTGATACGGATCGCGTTTTGTCTGCATGTGCGCGGAATGTTGTCCAAGTTATATTTTTTATTCCTATAGTGCTGAATGATGAAACGCTATATACATTACGTTCATAAGCTAGTATGTACTGTAAACACTTGACTGATGCACTGTGGATACGCATCATGCAATGGGGTGCAGCAGTATACATGTACTGCATGTACACTGAGTGATGACTTATTGACGAATGTCGGAACAATACATTGTGAAGAATCCGCCATAACAATATGCTTGTGCATGTATTTAGGTATATATACTGTGCCGTACTCGAAGGCCTGGACGAGAAACATTCGCGGATTACATAATCGTCTCGCGAATAGTGCTTGATCGGACTTGCACAGTGCTTACAGCATACTGTATATATCTTTACACATATATACGCGAGGAGAATACTGTGTATTACCTTGAAGAAAGTAAATAAAGTAAAACGAAGCGATAAGCGCTATATATAGAGACACGCCAGTGCTGTATATATACCGTATTGATATTGCTGTGCATCATCCTGATCAAGTGTATCAGTAGGAATGATGCTGGAGACATGCTCCATATCCCTGCATCACTCGCGCATCGCGGCCGTGTCCGTGCCCATGGCCGAGACTCTGCCCAAGGCCGGCATCATCAGTGGCGACCATCACAACAACCAACTCTTGCAAATGGGCAGTGGCAGTGGCGGCAAGCTGACGTTGTACAAGGTGTTGGTGTGCGACGGCGCCGACGAGTGGTTCATCTTCCGGCGCTACAACGAATTCCGCGAGCTGCGCGACGTGATCCGCCATGCATTCCCGCGCGAGAGGATCCCGTTTCCGGGCAAGCGACTCTTCGGCAGCAACTTCGACCCCAAGTTCGTGCTGGAGCGTCGTGTGGGACTCGACGCCTTTGTCCAGGTCAGTATTGCATGTGCTGTACAGAAGTATTGTATTTACAATAGAGTATTTGTATACCGTGATTGATTATTTGTGACATATCCTGTTATTACGGGAATCTGCATACGACGTACTGTCCGGTCCAAAGCGTGTATTGCTATATACGTACCGGCTGTGTTTAATCATCACATCATCGTCCGCACGTATTGCCGCCATGTATTTTAGTTCGCATTATATCGTTCGTCCCTATAAACCTGATGCAACAGCCTCATGATTGCATATGCAGTACTGCAATATGTAATGTGCTTAGCTGCTCCTGCAAGTCCTGATGCTGTGTCGATTATCTCAGTCATTCATTCAACTCGCAGACTGAAGGGATGGATGAATGAAATGAAAGAAAGACCGGGTCCAATTCTTTTCCCAATCATCGCGTGTGATTCGACGTGTGGTGGGAAATCCCAAGCCGGTTATCTTATTACGACTGTCATTGTATTCACCCCATCCATTCGAGGGATATGCTTTGTAATCCCTTTTAAAATAAGTCCGGTGAAGACAGCTGCACAGCAACGGGAACGAGAAAAGCCAGTCGTCGAGTCTCTGTATTATTTTTCAGTTGTGAATGACTTCCGGCGGATGCGTGATTCTCCCATTCATGTACAGTAGTACAATATTATGATCCATCCGGTTCTTCTTTCGCGTACAAACCGCCTTCAATTTTTGACGATCCGAGTCATCCTTCGTATGTACAGTAAATTGACGGTACTGTACTGCAGCTGCTATGATGGTTTCGCCCCACCACAGAAAGAACGAAACGAAAAAAAAAAGAAAAGCATGCAGGATAGATGTTTAGGTTTCGCACGCGGTATTCTCTGCTTATCGCGTTACGGGTATTTAGGGGTAACTAATATTCCTGGAATGGAGTGAATCGCCCGCCGAATTTCCCTATCCTGCATTGCTAGCTGCTGGTGCGTAGAAGGTCAAATTGCCCGCGTGGCTGTTGCTGGAGGGTTGATTCACACGCGTTTTGTTGTCGCACATTCCAGCGACGGAAACAAGACAAAACAATTTTGTACTGTTTCAAACATCAATTGTCATTCTTTCCCTGAAATTTTCCGAGCGCATCAGTCACTGTATGGATCGAATAGAGAAGAGCAGGCATGCTGGGATATAGTGTGAAACCAACCTGCAGCAGACCTCTCCCCCCCACCCCCCCCCCACTTAACGAGCACTACAGTATCAAGTTGTACTGTACGAGTTTTCCAAAACACTACAGCAGCTTACAGTATTGGGGTACAATAATGTCGAGTGTCAATGTTTCTATCAACTCCGTCTAGAATTCTAGATAATATTCATGGCACGAGAATAAGCAAGGAAAATTGCCTGTTGCATTATTTTGTATTGCTACAGACCCGGCTTATTCCGCTGCTTCCTCGATATAATATTTGAGACGAATGTACGAGTATTTGCTTGAAATTAACCATGTTATCATACGGTAGCTGGGCAGTATGATGCTGCAATATCAACTATTGTAATACTGTAGTGTTTTTTTCCCTTCATTTAGAAGACAAGTGGACTAATTTATCAGCTTTCGAAATTCTAGTTTGAGTGTTGGTTGGGACTCGGGTAGCTCCGATTCTACGCCATTGCAATATGAAAGGAAAAAGCAGCAGATGTCTAGTGTGATATGATGCGAAACAAATTTTTGGAGAGACATGATGGACAAATGAGTGTGGATCAGGGGTATAGTGCTCGTGCTGCAGGTAATAATGGCGAAGGATAAGATTTCGAGTTGACTGGTGAACAGAAAATGTTCCGTCGGGGAAACCCATCAGGACTGCGCTACAGGTGGAGGAATGAAGGGATCAGTCACACATAATCGAAGTCATCCAATCACAAGCGTGCGGGTCACGGTTGCTCTATACAGTACTTTACAACAGTACTGTAATCTTTGAAACATGTTTACTTGTCCTTTATTAATACGGAAGATGCTTGTGTAACAGCATAACTTATATGGATCGTGTATGATTGAGGGGGGGGGGGGGGGGGGCATCTCTGATGGGAAATCTGTCGAGATATGAATGCCGCAATTCAAGCGAGAACGGTTTCTTCTTCTTCCCTGGAAATCGATAATCCCCTCGACTTGTTATCTATTTTTGTTACAACGTCTGCCAAGCTTGACATTCTTTTCTCCCGTTTATGTGCTGATGGACAGTGATTTCTTTAAATCGGCATTTTTTACTGTATATACATATAGTCTTGCCGTTTCCTCAAGGTCAGAGGAGTATAAGACTGTGATATAGAGTGAAGAAGTGGACAGGAATGACGTATGTGATGCTCTCAAAGACCGGAAATTGGCGAGTTTCGAAGAATAGGTCGAGCCCCTGATCGTCAGCAATGTCGACGTATGTGGCAGAATGCATGCGCAAGAGAAGAATGAATTGACTGCTGCTCTTATTGACGTCACGTGACGAAGCGATAAATGTATACCAGGTTGTTTCCCCGTGTCGATCGTTGTTGGTGGCGCGCGATAATAAAGGGACTTTCCAGAAATGAGGCGCTTTTGAGTCACGTCCGCACTTCCTCTTCAGTTTAATTGTTTCATATTATTTTTCCCTGTCAGCCCAGCGAATACAGTTCTTTATGCAGTACTTTATGTTGAGAAAGGAAAGGAATTTCCGACGACGACGACGGAATTCGGATCTTGGTGCCGTGATTATTCCGCGCATCAAGCTAGTTATTATCGCCAATGCTGCATGTGGGGTTGATTGCGCGGGAATGACCTTGTGGCGGGGGCATGAGAATGAATTTGAATCCCGCTGGATCATCGCGCGATTATTCTGCGGCCTTTGTCGTCATACTTGGCGATCGTGTGCCACACAAACGGCAGATTCGCGTCATTTTGTCGTCGCCGCGACGTGAGGGTGACTTTATTCTGTCTGTTGTCGTGGATCAAAAGCAATAGGCCCGACTGGGAAAATCAATCAGAAGTTGCTTTATCTATCTCGCCGAATCCGTGCGTATGCGACTGGCTGCCGTGAATGAAAGTGGATATTTTGAAAGTGATTCGGTTCATATACAGTACTGTACTTGTGGTGAATCAGCGTACAGATTTTACGTACGGCTTTTGCGGGAATGTCGTGAGTGGTATGTGTATATAGAGTTAGACTATATACTAAGAGAAGTTGTAACAGTGTTGCGTGCTGCTGGTCGATTTAGAACAGTGTGTTCCCTCGACCTTCTTATTGGCCCGCAGACCGTTAAATTTGTTTGCGGATCGGCGAATATGCAAAATATTTCCTGCGGACTGGCAAGCTTTCATGCAACTCTTGCTCAATCGAAGTGAAATAAATTCGCTTTGAAAAATTCTGGGTAGTTATTTACAATGTTTCTGCCTTTTCTGCATGCATTGAGTCAAGAAGCAATGAAGCAACTATGGTGGAAGGTCTCTTCGAAAAATGAGGAAGGTCGGCTTGAATACGGAAGGTTTCTCAGAGTGGAGCAAAATGTATTGCTGTAGGTGAAAATTTGTCTGAAGAGTTGCTAGCGGAGAAAAGTCATCGTTCATCGAATGATTTCAACTGCCCTTGTCTTCCCGAAATTTCAGATGAAGATAACAGACTTGATTGCAACTTCTGACGAATTTAATGCGCTGATGATGAAAATTTCTGATGATGGAAACACTGATCTATGAGATGAGATCTGTATTATCATTGAGAAAATATCTTTGATGAATCATGTATGCCCGAATTTCTCCGCGCTGAATGTCATAATTGAGGCGTATGGTCGAATCGAAGGCTCATTATTATTATTATTATTATTAATTTTAGAGTACAGCAGTAGCCAAATCCTAGTTCATGATGGAGTGATGTACCGAATATAAAAACAGGCGGTAATGACGCTCCTATAATGAGGAGAGCAGCATGACAAGCTTCGAGTGATGGGTTTGGGTGCATTCTGAAGGGAGTGTAGTACTGTATAGGAGGTGAAGACCATAGAAACCTTCATGAGCAGGGAATGAGTTTCTTTCTTCCTCGGCACATGAATACGGTAGGTCGAGGAGAGTAGTCTTACGCGTACCGAAGATCAAGCCGTAGAACATATTCCATCCCAATCATGAAAAAAATCATTAGGGGATTATTAAAAGGCTTACTGTTCGGGGCAGACTAATATGTTCTTGCTGGGTACGACCGAAACCCTTGGTGCATAGTGTCTTAATTGAAGAATAATCGCGCAGTATGCTGTCAGGCTCTCGTTTAATTTGGGGCATACTAGTATACTTTACTTTACTGTACCTGGATCGTCGTGGGACTCACCGCGAACCCAATACAGTACAGCTGTGCAGAGTATATAGTCAGTGTAGAATATGTATCCCAGATTCACGGTCAAAAGTCGCTTGCACAGCACCGGCTCTTGACATTTCCGCGTTATCTCGTATTTGTTGACACTGCGGGTTGGAAAAAGTGCCTGTTCTCGTATCATCGTCTTGGCGGGAGACACTAGCTGCAGTACTGTACTCTACTCTACTCTGTCACGTCGTATCATCCATGCAGTGCCAGCAGCATCATATCACGCAGCTCAATTGATGTTTCGCGACGATTATTCGAGCGAGCCTCCCCGCCACCTGTTTCTTTTTTGCTTTTGTCTGCATGTCGATCCTCATTGCTTTCCGGGACAAAGGGCAGCAGCCCTCGGTTTTTATCAGGACTGCGTGTCATGTACAGTACTGTAAATATTCTCGCGCGAAACACAATGAGCTAGTTGTTTTACCGTGTAACCCGATACACTATGAGCAGTACAGTGTTGCAGTGTTTTGTCGTGCTCTGCAGCACAGTATATACAGTACATAGCATACTGTACTCATGCTTCGGCCGATACCGACACATCGTTGACACCCCTTATTCCATCAATGACGCGGATCATCAGTCCCGTCTCTGGCTTTATACTACGTATATACTGTACAGCTAAACAAAAAAAGTGAGCGTGTGCTGGTTATTTACAACATTTTCAATACAGTATCCGTC